TATAAATTTTATTTTTCTCCGTCCATTAAATTTTTTCTCGGTTTCCTTTTTGGAATGTCCGAAATTCTTTTTCCACTTTTCTATTTTGGCAAAAAAAATTAATGAATGGACTGTTATACCCTAACTTTTGTTCTACATTATTTACTTCATTTAACCGCATCAAGGACAAAACATGTAAAGTCATTATACATTCTAATTTTTCTTAATCTTCGTGGCAAATCAAATTGGTAAAGAAACTTTTTGGACGGAAGGAGTACATTTTTTTTCATGTAAATTGAACTGATAAAAATAATTACAACGAAATATATTAAATTTCATTTTGGGATCGAAGTAATAGAAATGTACTCCCTCCGTCCCAAATTATAATGCATGTTTACTATTTACAGGGTCAAACTTCATTCACTTTCTTTCTCTATTTTCCTTAGCAATTTGATAAAATAAAATATTATTGTCACTACTAGTTTTGTAGATCTTTTGATGTAGTTTTTTAAAACGGAGTATGTAATTTTTATTTTTTAATTCTATACCATTTGTCATATAAAATGATTTGAAAATAATTTTAGTTAAACATTATAAACCGAAAGATACGTTATTAAATGGGATGGAGGTAGTAGAATATACTCCGTAGGTGAAAACATAGTTATTTGTTTATATTCGCATTAATTGTATGTTTAATTGGTGAGAAAATGGTGTCAAAGAAAAAAAAGAGATGAGAAAATTCAAAATTCAACACAAATTTTTCATGTTTGGATGAATAAGAAAAAAGTAAGGAAAGAAAAAATTTATTTGGAATCAATGCCAAGACTTTTCTCATCTTTTCTTTTATTTCCCACCATTTTCTTATTATTTTCTATCAATCCAAACATTAATACTATGCTTGGTTCAAGAAATTTGAGAAGAAAAGGAAAAGAAAATGAGAAGTAAAACATTTTTCTAATTTCGTTAAAGTAGAAAATTAAAAAAAAGAAAAGTGGAAAAAAATAATAAGGCAAAATGTACAAAGACGAGAGAACCAAATTCCTTCTATTTTAGTGAGGAACAATGAAGGAAAACTATTTTATTTCTTTTCATGTCAAATTTCTCAAACTAAACATAGTGTAAAAATTTTCTCTTCATTTTCTCACTATTTTTATTTCCTCTCATTTTCTTTCCTCATCCAAACAAACCATAAAAGTTAATTACCCTCTGTATTCTTTTAACCCTATATATATATATATATATATATATATATACACACACACACACACACACATATATATATATATACATACATATATATATATATAGACACACATGCACACACACCATTAATAATGTGATCATCTCTAATTCAATATACTCCGTAGTTTTTAAATATTCTATATAAATTTATTTTAAAATTATATCATTAGGTAAATAAATATCTAAAATTAATATTAAATTAAGTCAAATATCGGGCTGTTAATTTGGAAGGGGAGAGTATATTTTTCTCACATTGACATAAACAATGTATGTCATTAATTTAAAAAAAAATTATGTCTCATGTATTGAAGCCTCAATACATATGTATCTCCGTTGGTTGGTTTTGCAAGCAAATGAGGTTGTCACATTTGTTAGCTTGCATGCGGGTGCTGGCGGGTGTACCCCGTGCAATAGCTCCACGTAGTGGCTAGAACGCGAAGAAAAAATTAAAGTACTTACTAGAATACAAACTAATCCGTAACAGACTTGGACTGAGATGAATTTAACAGTCTCGAAATTAAACAGTCCTGCAATTTTAGAACAATTAAACAACAATACTAAATGCTATTTTTGTATATAAAAGACACTTTTTATTTGGGTGCAAAGCAAATATAAGAAACACTAATTAACTAGAGTACATGATGTAATTAAAATGACCCACTCTTTATTATGCAAATTGGGTGCACAAGTAGTCTAGGAGACAGTTGTACTATTGTTAAGGGTTGTGTAAATTAAAAATGTTTCAGATTTAGGGGAAGCTAAGCATTAACAGTTCTTTGTCTATATTAACATTAATTGTGTGTTTGGTTGGTGAAAAAATGGTGTGAAAGAAAAAAAGAGATGGCCACACAAAATTTTCTTGTTTGGATGAATAAAAAGAAAGTAAAAGAGAAAAAAATTATGTCAAGACTTTTCTTATCAACAAGGATGAGAAAATTTTTCCTATGTCAACCTAACTTTTCTCTTTTCTTACCATTTTCTTATTATTTTCTATCCAAACATTCATATACACGCCATTCTAAAGTCCCTGTGGTTTCAAAATGCTCCACCCGTAGGGTACCCCTCTAATCATTTTCCGGCCATTTTATCCGGCGAAGGGGGCACTGGTGCATAATTTTAAACCATAGGAGGTATAAATGCTGATTTTTATTTCTCACTTATTTTTTTATTTTTTCCTTTTTTTCCTTTTTTGTTTCATTTATTAATAAAAGTTTGATAAAACTATTTTTATAATGTTCTTAAAATTTAAAGTTAATTTTTTGAAAAAATTAACATATAATGCTTATGTAAGTCTCAAATTAACAATTTGTGCTTTGTTTGAAAAAGTAATTTTTTTGAGAACTTCAAAAAAATTAGGAATAAAATAAGAAACAAAATAATACAAAAATAAAAATGAATATCCTTTTTAAACATCTCAATTCTAAGGACTTTTTAGGTGTGTCCAAATGTTTTTTGTAAAAGATTATTTTTTGTGCATTTTAATTTTTTTCATTTCTTTTTTCTATATTTTTATTTTTTTATTCTGGGTTTTTTTAACTTTCTAAAAAATTATTCTAAGTAACAAAAAGTGAAAATAATTAATTTGAGATAGATGTAATGTATGTTAATATTTTTATTTTTATTTTTTTTCAAACACAGAATTTTAAAATTTTTAAAACATTATAAAAATTTAAAATATATTTTTTAAAAAATTCTAGTAAAAGGAAAAAGAGACAGAAAATATTTATAAAGGGGAAAACATAAATAATAAACGAAAATAAAAATGAGCACAAATGCTTCCTATGGTTTAGAATTTATGCATCGCCAATGCCCCTCTTCGCCGGAAAATGGTCGGAAAATGATCTGAGGGGGTGTGGGTGCAACGTTTCAAAACCACGAGAACTTAAGAAATAAGTTTTAAAAACCAATGAAGTATTGGTGCTAATTTAATTTTCAAACCACAGGGGACACAGGAGATATTTGGCCATTAGTTATGTGATCAACTATAATTCAATATACTCCTTAGTTTTTAAATATTCTATATAAGTTTAATTTTAAAATTATACGGAGTATATCATTATTAATTAAATAAATCTATAAAAGTAACAATAATTTTAATCAAATATATAGTGATTCGGGTAGTTAATTTGGGAGGAGAGAGTATGTTTTTCTCACATTGATATAATTAATTTATGTCATTAATTAAAAAGAAATTATGTCTTACGTATTGAAGCCTCAATACATATGTATTTCCGAGGGTTATATTAGTTGCCCGCAAATGAGGTTGTCACATATGCTCGCTCTGCATGCGGAGTACAGCGTGTAATAGCTCCACGTAGTGGCTGGAACGGGAAGAAAAAAAGTACTCAGTAGAATACAAACTACTCCGTAACAAACTTGGACGACTATGATAAATTTAATAATCTCGAAATTAAACAGTTTCGAAATTTTATGTTGACGAAATTTAAATAGTTACTGTTATATATGAGTTCTTTTTTTTTTTTTGAGGAACACTTAATTATGAGTTATTTTTCCCTAATTAATCAATGAGGGGTTAGAGAGTACAACATCATGACTCTATTATAATTAGAGATAAAACATGTTTTCTAATTCAATAAACAAAAGACATGAATGCATAATATGAACTCCATTTACTTTTTCACTTATCTTGAATCTTGGTTAATACAAGATGAGTTAGTGACTTAGTGTTGTCTAAATTTATGGAGATGGTTCCATCAAAATATAGTTCAATAATTCTATACATTCTTAAAAAGATGATAAAATCTTATGAAATACTCTATATTGATTTGATAGATTGTGGGTTCTTTTTAGAAAAACCCCTTTTAACATTTGAAGATAATTTTTTATGTGAAATTTGAACTAAATACGATTAAAACATAAGTCGTTTCCCAATATAAGACTTAAAACTTTTTTATTCCCTAAATATGACTTAATAATGTCTATTGGGAAGAGTAATATCCAGTAATCATGAATTTAATGGATAGAACGGGAAGAAAAAAGAACTCAGTAGAATACAGAGTACTTCGTAACAGACTTGGACTTTGATAAATTTAACAGTCTCAAAATTAAACAGTCCCGAAATTTTATTTTGACAAAATTTAAATAGTTTCTGTTTTATAAGAGTTCCTTTTTTTTCTTTTTTCTTTTGTGAAAAAAAGTAAAACATCATCTTAAGGTGACATCATAGTGATTAGAGAACAAATAACAATGAGTAATTTTTTTTGAGGAACAATATAATTAACCCAAGTATGGTCCTTAATTATGAGTTATTTTTCCCTAATTAATCAATGAGGCCAGGGGTTACAAAGTACAACATTGTGTTTTACTTTTTCACTTATCTTGAATCTTGATTAATAAAAGATGAGTGACTGTTGTCTAAATTTATGGAGATGATTCCATAAAAATGTAGTTCACTTCTATATATTCTTAAAAAGATGATAAAATCTTATGAAATGCTCTAAATTGATAGATTGTGGGTGCCTTTAGAAATCTCCTTTAACATTTGGCAATAACATTTGAAAAAACTCTCTAGAAGTAGCTAGTATTTATAAAGGAAACTTGTTTAAAAAATTTTCAACGGAATTTTACTAGTAAATGTGACCAATTAATATTGCTAGTTAGCGATTGATCAATTAAACCATCCAAGTTGAGTACAAGTATTATTAGTACAATTAAACAACAATACCAAGTGCGATTTTTGTATATAAAAGACACTCTTTATTTGGGGTGCAAAGCAAATATAAGAAACACTAATTAACTAGAGTACACATAATGTAATTAAAATGACCCACTCTTTATTATGGAAATTGGGTGCACAACCACTCACTAATTCAGTTCAGGAAATTAATTAAACCCCAACAAACAGGCGGATATATCGGAGGAGGTTTTTAATTAAATTACTCAAAATTAAAGACGACGCAACAACTAACGGATCCATGGACGGAAATAACGGCGGACGGTCGGGCGGGCGGCGGCGGCTGAATGGATCAATAAATGAAAGATGAAAGATGTCCGATCCACGGTCAGTCTGTCACATGCCATCGCCTGGGGCGGCGGCGGAGGCGGCGGTGGGGAGCTGGAAACGGCACAAGGGGCAGACGTGCCTCCGGCCGAGCCACTCGACGATGCAGGGGCCGTGGAAGGTGTGGTCGCAGGGCATGCGGGTCACCTCCTGGTTCACTCCCATCTCTCCCAGACATATCGCGCACTCCCCGCTCTCCCTCGCCTTCACCTTCTCCAGCGACGCGATCGACGCCGGCGCCGCCGGCACCGCCTTGCACTCCTCCTCCTCCTCCATTGACAACGACATCACCTCGTTCAGAGCTTCTCCATCTTCCTCCTCGTCTTCATCGTCCTCGTCGTCGTCATCGTCGTACTCCTCCCAGTCCTCCACCTCCCCTTCTCCCTCTTCCCACTGCAAAATTTAAAATTCAAAATAAAATTTACATATTTAAATTAACTTAATAAAAAATTTGTTCAAATAAGACCCGTTAAAATAGAGGATAAGTAATCTTACACCAAACATTTAGTCTAGGATTGTGATACTAATTTAATTGGACACTTGCAATTTGTCGATAGTAAAAAAAATTCTATTGCATCCTTGAGTTTTTGTTAATTTTGTACCATCAATTTTATGATCTCACCACCATAAGTACTGCAGTTAAATTAGTGTAACAATTTAACGCCAAATGTATGATATGGTGTAAGATTATCACCTCTTTAAAATATATTCCTTCAGTCCCATAAAACCTTTTTTCTTTCTTTTTTTATCTGTCCCACAAAACATTTCTCATTTCTATTAAAAAGTCATTTTTACCCCTTACTTTTTCATATCCTAACTATTACATCTAACCTTTTTACTAATAATCTATCCATCAAATCATACTTTTACACATCACATCAAAAGATATTTTTGGAAATTCAATACCAAAATACACTTCCCTTAAATCCCTCCTAAAAAGCAAAACTCCCATGTTTCACGGGACGGAGGGAGTAAGAATTTTATTTTTAAATTTTAAATTAATTTTTATATAATTTCAGCCAAATATAAAAAATAATAAGTGAAACTTTAATTCAGGAACTTTCTATTATTATTAACTCAGGAATAGTTTCACAAAAAGATTAAAAGCTGTCGAAATATTTTCATGAGATCAATGTATTAATTGCACTCGGTAATTTTTAACAAAAAATTAATTACGGACTATGGAGTATTAATTATGCCACAAAAAAACATGCCAAGCATTTACCGCACCACTTAATGAGACAAAATGGATAAATGTATCCGAAAGGGACACATTGTTTAATTAATGCGAGAGATGCAGGTCCAACTCCATCCAGTGCACAAAGGGGAAGTGACCCGAAAATAACAATTTAAAATAATATAGAGATTTTTGTGATTAATTTTGAACTGAGAAATAGGGGTAATTAATTCGAAGTACCATTCAAAATAATGCTCAGTATATAATAGTGAAATCCTACTTCGGTATCAAAATTATTTTCTTGTTTCAATGATCTGAATTTTTTGCAATTTAATTTATATTTTTAAATCCAAAAAATTTAAGTAAAATAAATAAAATTAAGAGTATACTACGACTTATTTCTCCAACTTGTTTTTTTCTACTTATTACTTTTTTTTATTAGAATCATGTCACACCAAAAATAATTTTAATTTTAGTATAACTACATACAAACAGATCAAAATTAAACGAACCAGATCAAAGCAATCAGATAAGTTGAAGAGAACACGTCCTACTTGATCTCTTCACAAGACAAGAAGCATTATGATTATTTTATTTTTTAAAATGAAAAAGTATTAGGAGTATTTGACAATGATCGTTAAAGAGTTTAATTGTAAATATAATTTAAGAAGAGTAATTTACCTAAATAGGACTAAAACATAATGACTTTCCCAAAATAAGACCATATGTTTTTATTTCCGAATGTAGGACCTTTGATCATTATTCTTTAGTCATTATTCAAGTAATGTCTATCATTGCTGGGCATTATTTCTTCCACGAAGACATTATTAAGTCCTATTTAGGGAATAAAAAAGTTTAAGTCCTAGATTAGAAAAGTCATTATGTTTTAGTCCTATTTAGTGCAAATTTCAAATTTAAGAAATGAGAGAGTAAGAACCCGAAAAAGGTGGAGACAAAAATAATCAGGAAAATTGATGATAAAAAATATGGGTGATCCTAAATCCACCCTCAAAATGACTATCCACAACTTTCTTCAATTTTTGTTTTTGTTAAACCAATACCACTATGAAAGTTATCTTTATAGGTGTGGATTTAACAAAATTAGGTGAAAGGTATGGATATAGACATTTATCGTGAATTTAGCAACACCCTAAAATTATAATGAGACCGCTTAGATCTCTGAGTATTTGACTATTTTTTAATCTTTTTCAGTCAAATAGACACAAAAACATGAATTGAAAAACATTAACATGAAATATGTCAGTGTTTATTCACTTTGTAATGTATCATGAAATTTGATAGTTAAAATGAGAAATTCAAAAGTCACGCACGGCGAAGTAACGGAGGAGTAGTATAGAGTAGTAGTACCTCATTGTCGTGGATCGGCCGGTGGTTGGTGGGATGAAAAGGATCGCCGATGATCTGGAACTGAGTCTTGGCGACGTCCACCTGGATCGGGATGGTTATGTTCTCCAAGATGGCGGCGAACTGGCGGGTGAGCATCACGGCGGTGGAGCTGATCTTGGCGATGATGGCAGGGTGCTCGAGCGCCGGGATGTCCGCCAGGGCGAGGACGGGAGATATCTCCTTGTAGACGGCGCCGAACCCGGCCTCCCCGAGGCGCTCGAACGGGAGCTCGACGATCTCGGAGACGTGGGGCCCCTCGTTGAGGTTGCAGTGGAGGACCCACTGGTTGGTCTCCCGGCAGAGGTAGTGGAGGCCGGTGGTGTTCTTGACGTTGATCTGGAAGACGAAGGCGTTGGGCGGCGGCGACGCGACGCCGGCGAGGATGCCGCTGTTGTGGTGGACGTAGCAGTAGTAGTGGGCAACGGGGTTCGTTCCGGCACCTGCTCCTCCTCCTTCCATGGCGGCGGCGACTGACCGATCAGAGAATGAAATTAGTCAGAAGAAACTCGATCGAGTGTAGTATGACTGTAGTATGACTATAGAGTGATCGGTAGTATTCGAATTTGGTCAGCTAGCTGTGCATGGGCGAGAATAGAATATTGACAACTGGCCGGGTGGGGAGGAGGTCTCTATTTATATCTGAAAATAGTTGACCTCCTCCACTCGTCTCGATCTTCTTATAGACATTCACAGATATCATCAGACATTAAAATAATATATTTCAATATGTACTTGTAATGTTTGTTAGAAGTTGGGATGAGAGGTGCAATGACCTTAATTAACATAGCCCATTTGTTTAACAATAATGACTCTAGAATGTGGTATAACACATCTCACATGGACAAAAACTAAATAGAGTTTTTGGATTTGATAGTGTCTAAAGTATCACAATTGTAGTCTTTCATCCAAATGGACATGTTGTCATACAAACTTGAGATTTTGATATCCATATTCATTTTTTGTTTAGTATGTAACACAAGGTTGTATATATAATTGATATGAAATTGTATTACTCCCTTCGTTCTTAAAAACACTTCCTCTTTCATTTTTTCCACTTCCAACAAAACACTTCCCCTTTCTATTAAAAACCACTTTTACCCTTACTTTTTCATATCCTACCTATCACATCATACTTTTTCTCTAATAATCTATCCATCACATCTTACTTTTACCCATCACATCAGGGGCAAAATTGGAAATCAACTATAATTTAACACTTCCTTATTTTTGCCCCCAAATCAAATGGGAAGGGTTTTTCCAAACGGAGGGAGTATGATTTATTAAAATACACATCAACATATTTTTGTTACCAAATTCACATATTTCTATAATTGATATGCAAAGTTTAGAATTAGAACTCAATTCAAAATCTATATATTTCTGTATCACCAAATAATACTCCCTCCGTCCCAAAAAGATGGGTACATATTGACTTTTTGGAAAATTAAAGGAGAGATATTTTGGTGTTGACTTTCCAAAAATACCCTTGATGTGATGGATAAATAAAAGTAGGATGTGATGGGTAGATTATTAGGAAAAATGTATGATGTGATACGTAGGGTATGAAAAAGTAAAGGGTAAAAGTGGGTTTTTAATAGAAATGTAACGTACTTTACGGGACGCATTTTTTTCGAAACGTGTCGGACTTTTTGGGACGGGGGGAGTATAATTGGAATTGAAGTCTACAATTCTAGTTTCTTGGCCTGAATTGCCCTTGTATCAATCGGATTGGAGCCTAAATCTTTTTGGACTTTTTTTCTTTTGGTTCGGATTAACAACACATTTAATGTTTTTCCTTAAATTCTTTTATGTTTCAAATATTTTATAGAATATCAGATTTTAAAACTTCTGCTCTCTTTTGAACCTTTATATTTTACTTTTCACACTTTTCAATGTAACACTTTGAACGTCAATATGTTATTTATAGACACATGCTTTGTATATTATAAAAATGTAATATTTGAAATATATATATATATATATATATATGTATGTATGTATGTATATATGTGTGTGTATGTGTGTGTGCGAGCGTGTGATGTCACAAGTCAATGTATTTTTTTTCCATAATTTAAATTAAAAGTTAAAAAGAATTGACTTTCAAAATCAAACTAGAAATGATCGAAAGGGTCGGAGGGAGTAAATTCGATTGTATGAACTAACATTTGAATGTACTCCGTAGGTGTTTTTCAATTTGCTGGTTTTAAATGAAATTGATACTTTTGAATGTACTTGTTAAACTAGGGTCCGTCATTAGGGTTTGGTGGCCCTTGACAAAATAAAAAAATGGGTCTTAACCCTAATAAATTAAATTATATAAACTATTTTTAAAAAATATTAATTAGTACTCCCACCGTTTGGAAAAACACTTCCCATTTAGATTTGGAGCAAAAATAAGGAAGTGTTAAATTATACGGAATAGTTGATTTCTAATTTTGCCCCTGATGTGATGGGTAAAAGTAAGATGTGATGGATAGATTATTAGAGAAAAAGTATGATGTGATAGGTAGGGTATGAAAAAGTTAGAGTAAAAGTGGTTTTTTAATAGAAAAAAGAAGTGTTTTGTTGGAAGTGGAAAAAATGAAAGGGGAAGTGTTTTTGAGAACGGAGGGAGTATTATAATAATATACGGAGTATATAACAAAATTATAATATTATAATTAAATATCATAATAACTGCTTTAAAAATCATGTTTTAAAATTTTTATTTAAAATATATACAATATGTATATTGAAAAATTTAATGTTGGACCTATGAAAAAAATGTATCTGGACGGGTAGGACACCTTGACGATCTACCCTTGGGCCGGCCTGTGTTGAACATTGCAAAATACTCCGTATTAGGGAGTACTAAAAATCGTTCTAAAGTTTATTTTTCATGTGTTGTCATCCCTTAATAGTGTGTTTGCTTTAGTTTTTGTAACTTCAGTTGATATTATTTTTTGATTAATGAATAAATCTTAAATGTTTTTGTTCAACCGATTTGTGTTAGAATATAGTTGTAGCATCTTGTCGGTCGTCACCATGTTGCTAAAACATGTGATATATCATTTGCATTGGTCCGTTATCATATACCATGAAGAAATCCTATTCAACGAAGGAGTCTTGCTATTTCAGAGATTCTAGTTGCATTTATTTTTATGGAATAATATATATATGCAACAAACCTAAAAAGAGTGTCCAGTGGTTTTTTAAAAATTTTAACAGTGCAGATTACTTTGAAAACGCTAACGTTAAACGCTATCCGTAGATAACCTTTCGAAAATGTTAACGCTAATCTCTAACACTATTTTCAAATATATCCTATTATGAAGTTTTGAGAAATAAGAAATGAGTTGGCCGGCTTGCTGTAAGGGATGTCGTGCTGCCCAGCGAGACTTGTTGCACAAGAAGTTTTCCAAAATGAACTCCACTAGCATTTTGCTTCTCCCTACATAAGTTGTCCCTAGCCTCATAGTTTTAAGAGCCATATACATGAGAGAAAATCCAAGAGGCTGGCTAGGTTGAGTTTCGATCGTTTGGTCCATTTTTAATGGGTCATTTCAAAATTTGTCATCTTCGGATTCAGTCAACGAAACTTTTATTCAAAATCCATTGTTTTTGAATCATGCATCAATTAAAAAAGAGATGGATTACACTTTTGTCAAGCCTTATAAAAAGATAAGAACAGAGACACACTGAATTCGAGAGGAATATTTTCTAACAAACTCTTACTTGCATTCATCCCTAGACTACATCAAATTAATGAACTGCATGAGATGTGAAAGAAGACTTTTAAGCATGTATTATCAACTCATATTCCATCTGTTTCAAAATAAATTAGATCAAATTACTATTTGAGTCATTCAATAAGTTTTACTTCCTCCGTTTCTGAGTATTTGTATTTACTTTTTCTCGTCAAAATTAGTATTCTTTGATCTCAAATTAAATAAAAATGATACTCTCTCCGTTCCACAAAACCCTTCCGGTTTTGACTTTGGGAAAAAATAAGAAAAGTGAAATTTTGGTTGACTTTCAAATTTTGCCCCTGATGTGATGGGAAAAAGTAAGATGTGATAGTTTGGTTATTAGTGAAAAAGTATGATGTGATAGGTAGGGTATGAAAAAGTATGGGTAAAAAGGGTTTTTTAATGGAAAGTGAAAGTGTTTTGTGGAAAGCAAAAAAAAAACGAAAGAGGAAGGGTTTTGTGGAACGGAAGGAGTATTAGATATTGAAAAAAAATAGTTTTATTAGACTTATTATACAAAATATTTTCAAAATATTATTTTATCTAATTAATATACAATATATATTTTATTTAATTATAGGTCAAAGGTTGAAAACGGTTGACTGAAAAAAGTCAAAACTGAACAAATAATTAGATCGACAGAGGTAGTATTTGTTTTCATGTTTTGATTTAGCATTTGATAAAATAAAATATTCTTATCGCAATTACTTTGTAAAATTTTTGATATAATTTTTAAATTTGTTATATTTAATTATTTTTATAATAATTTATGAATACACTAAATTTAAAATTCACGGAGTTTGCACGTTATTCAAATTGTGAAATACTACGGTAGCAGTAGAATTTCAAGAATATAAAAACGAGGAGAGCACAAAAGTACAAATACAAAGACCACCGAACTAATTAAACCTATAGCAGTAAAGCACCAACTTTTAAGTGCTCAAACGGTGTTTGAAAATGTACATTAATTACCAAACACGAAATAATAATTTTTAAATCGAATTAAAAAAGTATAACAACATTTTCTGGAATTTCTGCATATTAGAACCGAGTGGTATTTCACGATTTTTTTACTGTTATATTATTGACAACGGAGTATATCACAGTAGAGTGTCAAATATTATGGAATGGGTTTAAATTAATTAGTATAATTAATTGTTGATAGAAGATACAAAACGGATTTAAAAAGAAAATTACATGCAGTTGTAAATTTTCTCATGAATGCTTTGGATCATGTGTTTATTATGAGTTAGCTGGCATTAAAATTCTTTGTGTATTTAAATTAAAACAAAGTCTACGTCTGTCTTTATCAAATACACCACAGATGTCAATTAATTTAATTTATTATTCTCATTTGTCAATGTTAGGACTAAGTTATTAGTACTGAATCTAGCTCACAAGATAGTGATCAATTTCATGGGACTAATAGTACGGGGTACCTTCGTGTTTACAAAAGAAACCCCATAACCACATATACTTCATCTGTCCCTAAATATGTATTGCCATGCATTTAAAAAAAATGAGGTAAATATTAAGTTTTTTTAATTTATTTTATTTAAATATTAGTATAGAAATTAATAAATAAAAAATAAACTTACATATTTAAAAAGTATTTGTAAAACTTTTTGAAATAAGAGATGTCAATAATATTATTTTATTCTATCAAATAATGAATAAAAAAACAAAAGTTTTCATGATGGTTGGAAAAAGATTGTGGCAAACATTTTGGGACTGAGGGAGTATTTTCTAAAGTTATTTGTAAAATTTTTCTGCTTTCTAAAAGATGCATACA